ACAGTTCCTGGAATGTATGTAGTTCCTTGTGCCTCTGGACTATATCTGACACTTCTCTGAAGACTGAAGTATCTCTCAGTCACAGTCTGCGAGTTATGGTATCAGAGTTCATTTGAAGCACATTTTTGCCCTTTTACTTACCAGCTTTGTGATGTTCACCAAATTCCTTGCCTTCAATGTGTGCTTTCTTTTCTGCAAAATGAGGCCAATAAAAACATCTAACCTGGGTGGTTACTGGGGATTAAATAAAAGATAATAAGAACTTACAGGAGTGCCTACGAATAGTAAGTGTCCAGTGTTAGATTTTTCATCCGTAAAATTCGGTCCAGAAACTGGGATAAATAGTGTTCAGCGAGGGAACCTCTGCATCCCACTGTGGAACCATCTTAAGGGTTTTCTCTGTGTTAATTAAGCATTTCCTACAGTTAACATCTGTGGCACTGTCTCAACATCTTCTAAACCTCTGGTCGAGTGTCAAAGGAACTGCAATTCCACTGTGGGCAACTCTTTCAGTCTTTCTCTTGGCTCCTCAGATGCATGTAATAAGAACTTTCACAAAGTACTCTTTCAGAGAGCATTTCAAAATATGCTGTTTTATATTAGTTTGGGGGTAGTTTTTTTTCTGTAGCATATAAAATGTCCTCGTTTCTAATTGTCTTGTAATTATTCTATTTCTTGGAGATGTTTTTTAAAATCCATGAAATTTCTCATTCATATTTGACCAAAAAAAGAGGGGAGGGGATGTTAACTGATTTTGTGAATTGTTTCCATGATCTTAAAACTCTGGAAGGAAGGCACCGCTGACTCAAGGGAGACTAGTGAGTACAAGCAGTGTGGTGATGATTAAAGCAGCTCAGTGCATGGACTGGAATTACTGTGTATAATGACAAGTACAAAGAACAAGTGATCTAGTTAGAAATCCTGAGGACAACAGGGAGACATCGGAGCACAGAGAAATGAGATTCCTCGTGAACATTCTGGGTATTTATCTGGTCTGAGCCTCTCATTCTTGAGTGCACTGATGTCTGTTTGAGTGATTCCCTGTTGAGAGCTCCCCTGAGGTAAATACCCTTATTTCTGTCTCCCTGAATGCTGATAGCCTCCCCTTTCCCTTCCCCTACTCTTCTCTCTTCCCCATTTTGACAACAAAGCCTCCCAACACTCCCTAATGTCTCCTAGAGAGCAGATGTCTTGGTTTGAGAACCACTGTCCTAATGGTAGAAAATTAATAAAAGTATTAATGGAACATCATTAAAGTAAAGCTTGTGCCATTTTGAAATGGTCTTATTGATTCATTCTAGGCTGATTCTAAAGGGAAAATTCTTAATTACTAATTGTCTAAAAGCAAGATCCTTGGATCTTTAGCAAGACATTCTGCAGTATTTCTTCCTTATGATGTAAAACTCTTGAAACTTATTTAAAAGGTTTAATTATAAGATTATAAACATAATAATGCTAACTTACAAAGAATATTCTAACTCAGTTATCAATAATAAATGAGATGAATAAAGGTTATAAACATAATAATGCTAACTTACAAAGAATACTCTAACTCAGTATCAATAATAAATTTGAGATGAATAAAGGAACAAGTAGATCTCAAAAGACAGACTCTGCCTTTAATTATATGCCATACAGCAAAAATAAGTGAAATTGTGGTGCACACCTATAACCTCAGGATTGAGAGGTGGAGAGTCACAGGTTCAAGATTATCTTTAACTACACAGTAAGTTCAAGGTCAGCTTAAGTTATAAAACTCTGCCTCAAAGAGGCAGAAGCAAGCAACACCCTGGTATATCCTCTATGCAGATGTGTTTGAAATGCAAGGTCATACTGAGCAAGTTCAGGACATCGTCAAGAATTATTTCCTGCAAACTATAAAATGCTTGAAGATGCTATTTCCTTTTGACTAAACTACAGACACCTATCTTCCTGACACTGGCCAATCATACATACATAGTCCTTGCCATCCTTCTTCTTGTGGGTATTCATCTGTAAGTAGTTGTAAGGAAGTGTATAAAGGATTAAACATATGTAGCAACAGTAAATGCTAAATTCACAGGACAATTGTAGGAATAATTAATGTAAGGCCCTTGACAGCAATAGCAGGATAAATGTTTCACATGTGAGTATAATTAACGTCCTCATCCATTCAAACCTGATCAGTCTGCTTTAACTGTATAAATTTTAATTCATAGCATGTTTGTTAGAAAGTTATTTTCTCAGTGCCATCACTTCAGGCTGTGATTCATGTTTTGCACATGAACGTGGAACAATCCACTCTATTCAGATTCAGGACAAGTGGGACCACAATATCTTAAGAGATGCTGGTGCATCTATATGCTAACTAGGAGTCCAGGCATATCACTTAGATCTCAGGACTCACTGCTAAATGGATATAGACTTGCCCTTCCTTATCTTACAGTGGTACCCTGAGGAAACTAGTCAGTGTCCTATGCACACTGTAGTAAATTGCTGTCCTACTACTCACAAAACAGTCGAGTCACCCATGATATGCATTGAGTACATTTTACACAAAGCTAGAGATATTGTTCCTCATGTTAAAACATGAATGCATTCTTTCATTGATCCAAAAGAAACAACAGCTCATTTTAATAAAGGTTAATAAAAGGGGTTGAAGATGTGGCTAAGCTGGAGAATGCTTTTTTAATATTCAAGATACCCTGGGTTCAATCTCCAGCACCCTCAAAGTAGGTGTGGACACACACCTGCAACCCCAGCCAAAGAGGGAAGATCAGGAGTTCTTTTGAAATGCAAGGTCATACTCAATAAGTACAAGACAACCTGAATATATGAAATCTTGTCTCAAAACAAAAACAAAAAACCCCAAACCAAAAACAGTAATAATAAAAATTATAAAGACTGGTGAGATGGTTCAGTGGATAAGGGATCCGCTGATCAGCCCAAGGACCTGATTTAAATCCCTGGAAACTTTGTGGTGGACTGTGGCAGCCCCCACCACAAGTGAATATATAAATGCAAATTTAAATGAAGTGCTAACACAAAGGCCTATGGTAATGGACCTCAACTAGATCAACCACAGAGGCAAATCAAGCCAATCCTAAGCAGAGCTTGACTTTTGGTAGTTTTGGCTTCTGTTTGTTGGCTGTTTATATTTGCACCTCCCTGAACACTCAGGACCTTGTGCTTTGGACTGTTGTACCTCCTCTCCTCTGAGGTCATCTGCTGGAGGTCAGATGAATGGATTTCAGCAACCACTGACTGATCCAGCATTTAGTCTTTAAGTAGCTTGTTCTCAACTATGTAACTCAAAGCTTTAGTATCCTCTTGAAGAAGTGCCGGGGGCGGGCGGGGGAGGGGGTTAGGAGGGGGGTGTGTTTGAATGTTCTTACAAACTGTCACTCTAAAAGAAGAAAAGCTTACAAAATAAAATTCGGGGGAAAGGATCATGTATCGCAAGCCAGAAAGTTGTTCTTGGTTTTCTGAGGAAAGGGGAAGGTGGTGGGTAGAAAACGTCATATATGCTTGTTAATGGAAAGGCCACCTTACCTTAGAGCAAGTGTTCCAGCAGGCTTCTCAGGTAGACAGCATGTCCTGTTTGCTTTCAAATTTTTAACCATTAACTGACTGACACCACAATCAGCAGTTGTTTAGCTGACGTTTTGTGTTAAATCACTTTGGATCACTGAAGCAGAATGAAGAAAGTATCAGCCTGTGTCCACAGTCCCTAGGTATATTCCTTGGCAACAGCTCCCTGCAACTCTCAGTGGATACCCATGAACTGACTTCATCTCCATGGCTCTCAGACTTAAGTCTCCACAGTAATGCATGGCTTTAGATTTGGATCCCTATGTAATTCTCATTATCTCTTGAGACAGGATGTATGCATAGCCCTAGATGGTTTGTTATGTGATCTAGGATGGCCTCAAACTTACAGCAATCCCCCTTCTTCAGTCTCCCAAGCTTTGGTATTACAGGCATCCACTATCGTGCTAAGCCATGGAAGATCTTCACACTGACGAACTGGAATGCACCTTCTATTTTTATGATTAGTTCTTAAAGTTAGACAGCTGAGAAAAGACAAGAAAACAAAAAGCAATCTCCACCCAAAGTTTCTTCTTATAAAGTCTTGTGAAACTTTCAGCACACATCTTTGGAGATCACCTTTTACTCAAATAGAAATGTATGTTGTTAATTTAAAACAATTTACATGTTTCCAAGATATTAGTATTTTTCATCAATTAAAGAAACCATTTCACAAATTAATCTTTTATTTTAGTTCTACACATTAATATCTTACAGAAACAAAGAGATCATATATTAACCTGCGGTTACATGCCTTCTGATTCCTTCCAGTGTAGAGGTCTAAATTTTTATACAAATGTAACCAGTACACATAATTTCTGGTGTAAACTAACATCTTTTTGATCCTCAGACATGTTTACATACAATCTTACATATGCCATTTAACTCTCTGTAAGCTTACAATAGCACTAGCAATACAGCAAAATGCATCCATTTCTTAGTAGGCTTTCTTAAAAAAAATATAAATGAAATTGCTAGAACATCTGTTTAAAAGTAGCTTTATTTATTTATTTGTTCAGTCTAAGTATTTTTGTGGGCATGTCCTACTCAAAGTGATGTCAAAAATATCTGTTATAGAATTCTGGTTAATCTCCTAAGTAGTTCTTCATAATGACCATGAATACATGATGCTACTGTAGGAAGACTCATGTAGATTTAAAAATAGTAGGACCTCAGTCAACACTGCTTCAATCTCTATTTTAATACACATTAATTTGAGGATCAAGGAAATTATTTTTACTTCTTTTTTTTCTCATTTGCAACCTATTACTTTATACTATGCACAAGAAGAGTAGGAAACCTAAAGAATTTGCATCCACTTAAAATAATAATAATAAAAACAAGCCAGGCACACACCTTTAATCCCAGCACTTGGGAGGCAGAGGCAGGCAGCTCTCCTAGTTGGAGACCAGCCTGATCTACAGAGTTCTAGGACAGCCAGTGTTACACAGAGAAAACCCTGTCTCGAAAACCTAAACTAAACTAAACTAAACTAAACTTAAAAATTTTAAAAATACCCATGAAATAGCGATAGCTTTTTTATTCCACCTTCTCTCCTTGTTTTGTTTTTCAATTTAATTTTAGTTGATGTACCTTGTCAACGTTCACTGCCAGAACATTCCTTGGCATCATGACTGGGGTAGAAATCGTAGTCTTATTACTTTTATGCTTAACAGTTTCACTTACAAATAAACTGCATTACTTGATGTCAAGTGGACCGAGTACCTATCCCCATACTGATGCAGCTTCTAAATCCTTCCTCCCAGATAGCTAACTAGTCTTAACTTCCTTGAACCCAGCACCACAGAAGAGTTAGACAGGTTGCAGAGTTATTATGCCTTAAGAACTTGAAGGGCAAAGCCCTGTATTTTCCCCTCTAAAATCGAATGTGGCTTTCCTTGCTTACTTTCCTGGATAATTTATCACAATTCTCTCAAATTACATAAAGCATAAGCTTGGCATCACAAATGATATTATAATAAAAACCATTTACATACAAATGTCATATGCTGGCATTACCTTAGATATGAGTTCTTATACATTATCCAACTTGATCTTCACAATAAGTCTGTTAAGTATTAGATCTACTTTATAGATAGTGAATGGAAGCTAAAAGTGATTGCCTTGAGATCAGACAACTAATAGTCAATGATGTGAGGTCTCTCTGTGTTTATAGCATTTTCTCTAAGCCAAGATAGTTCTCATAGGCATACTCATATTTCAAATTTAGCTCCTTCATTAAGCCTTATCTTTTAGTATCTTTAATTGTTCTAATATAGCTAATATATACATATATATATATGTCAATGCTTTTTAAAATTCCATCGCTGTTAGAATCTATAGATTTCAAGAAACTATCTTGCAACTTGTGAAATTATCTTCTGTTTGTAATATATTTATATGTTATAGGTTTTGTAAATCATAAAGCCATGGAAATAGAATATATCTGTACTGGTTTCTTTCTGAATCTTTAATTTGTATTTTTATTCCAGTGACAATTTTTTCAGCCATATAAAGATAAAAATAGTAACAAGGCCTTTCATTTCTGCTTGAGAAATGGTTCATACATGCTTTCCCAATATAAGTTTGAGTTAAGTTTTAAGTAGTTGCTTATATTATGAAAACCCTACAAAATCATTAGCAAGCATAATTAAAGCCAATGTGACTACGTTTCTTGTTAGTGCAGTTAATTGTAAGGGTTCTATTCTGTTCCTGCTGATGTATGGCTACTCTACTGGACAGCCCTCTAATCCTGAGTCACTGTAAGTAATTGTTTCTGTTTGTTGTTAGCTCTTTGCCAACTCTGTACCCTGCAGTTCCCACCTACCCAAAATGAGGGGTGTTATTTGATTTTTAGAATTGAGCCCTCATTGAGTCAAAATATAATTGGTAAAAAGCAGCATTTATGATTTTATTTCTTAAACATCTGAAAACTACAATAAGCCCATTCTAACTTGCTAGAAAATTAGATAACGTTCCTAATAGGTTTTACTGTTTTAATTAATACTTTTTACTGGTTTATCTCATTTCCAACTTATTATTTTGTGATGATTCGAAGTAATATATTTGCTTCCATAGTTTAAAACAAACAAACAAACAAGCAAACAAACAAATAAACAGACAGTGCTTTGGCCTAGTCTAATCTTTAGTTCCAATACATTCAGTTCTGCCTTTTGAAATGTCTGTTTATCTTTTACAGTTATAGCTCTTTTAAATGTCTCTGGGACAGACTGGTTCTGACAAACTTTATACATTGGGTTTGAATTACTCTCACTTTTTACTGATCCATTTTACTGATCTCAGAATTGTTATTCTCTTAATTGCTATTTTTTAGGTCATTTCAGTTGTTAGGCTAGATTTAAACCTTAAGATATGCCCAATATTTTCACTTTAAAAATCAAACACCAATCAATGGCTATCTACTGTCAGCATGCTGTCATTCATGTGAATGACTTGCCTTGCGTTCCTCACTAAAAAGGAGTAAGAGTATACTCAGAACACACTGTGTCTATTACCATGCTGTGCCCCTTCCCACAGTACAGAGGATTTTCCCTGTTGGGGTACAGTAGGTGGTTCTAGAGGGAAACTTCCCATCTAACTCCAGGGAACAGACATGTAGAAGTCATACCCTCTGTCTATTACCAATGCTTATCAAAGTCCAGCCAACCAGGTGGCATGCTTCACCCTGAGAAGCCTGGATGGGGAAATCTATCTAAAATGTAAAGCTATCAATAATCCCATATTAAGATGTACCACTGTTCCTCCTAGGGAATTCCTTTCTGATAATTTCTAACATCTATCCTACATCTATCTATACCTTTTTCTGGGGTAATTAATTTATGTTAGCATGAGTTGGGAGTTCTTTTAAGTGTTATTGTCGGGTCTATAAAAGTTTTTTCTGAATAAATCCTGTTCCTTTAGTTTTCTTTATAATGTACTTCTTTTTTGGTGGGAGGGGTATTGTTTTGTTTTGAAATAGTTTCAACACTGTAGCCCAGACTGGCCTGGGTCATAGCAATCCTCCTGACTCAGCCTCCTGAATGAAAGGATTACATGAGTAAGCCACCATGCCCAGATTGTGTATCTTAAATATGTGTTTCTTAGACTACTAAAAAGTATCTCTTCTTATAAAGTAGAAGGCTAGGGTAGTCTCACTGTCTCCTGAGTTCCAATGGTCAAGCAGGTGAATTCGCATGTAAGTGTCAACCCCAAGACACAGCAGCATGCACAGCTAAGCTTCTGACAGTCTTATCGCACGGCATTTAAATTAGCTGCTACTCCTACTACCATCTCTATGTGTTCATGTAATATACAAAAGAACAATCCCAGTTTATGATTTATGTGTCCCTCTATGTATCTGAGGTGGTATTAACAATAGTAGCTGCAGCAGTAGCTTAAAAAGTCCTTAGGCTTTAATTTTGTGTAAAAGAAGATAAAAACCTAAACACAGGAACAAGTGTGATATTACCTTAAGTAAGGAAAGGTGCTAATGAGGGACCCAGAAGTAAAATGAAAGTGACCGGTATTCAAAGATTCTGTATTCCTGGAGGCAATTCTGAAACAAAAGAGTCAAGTCACCAACAAATCAAGTGCTAAAGGCTAGCAGTGCCCAGTATCTCAGTGTTGAAGACACGTGACCAGTGCTTCCTACAGTTACTGCTGGTCACTCTTTCATACGACGTTTGGAGGCCAAGGATGAAACATTTCCAGTGTTTGCTTTTGTTTTTGAAGGTGTTCTAAGTTTTAAAAGTTCTTGCTGTCCTTGGGGTGTCTAGCTTAGTGGTAAGTGTATTACTAACTCCAGTAGTGCCTGGTTGCTAACCCTCAGCTTCAAAGATAATGTCTTCAGGGTTTGGTGGAGGAGGGCAGAACTCCTCACTGGGAAAGATCTCCTGGAACAGTGTTTCCGCTTGCTTAACTGCATGCTCATTCCCCAGGCCACAGTCAGGCCCAGAGCAGATATACACATTGGAAGGTAAGCCGCAGTATGAGCTTCGGCACACTCCCGAGGAATCTCTCATATTAAAATAAAGAGCCCACAGGAGTCTTGGTTTTCTGAGTTCTTTGTCTGTTTCTGCTTCTGTTTCTGCAAAAGGAATAAATAACTGCTTCACCACGGGTTCCAAGTCTTCTCTGGCTGTTTTTGAAGAGAAACAGGTCAGGTGGACCAAATAGCTGTCCTTCATACATGTCATGGTTGATGAGCATAATTCCATGACCCGAACAGAAGCAGCTCCTGGCTCCAGAGGAGGCACTACCAAAATGGAAATCTGCTGGTCAGAATCTGTCTTCAGAATGGACTGATCTGTGATGAGCACTGCCCTTGAGATCTGCTTATATTGCACATTTGAACATATTTCCTTAGAAAGGTAACTGTCCTCCACAATAAAGTAGTTGGCACTTATTCTCTGACCAAAGTCATCTACAATTCCTTTACATCTTCCAGAGTCTTTGTCAACTACAAGGCATTGTACTTTATGGCGAAGACAATAGATTCCACCAAAAACTGCACACATCCTACAGAAACACTGGGGTATTTCTCCTTGGCCATATAAAGGAAATATAAAGGGAGTGTTGCCAAACCGGCCAAGACACTGAAGGAAGTTTTTTGTTGCTTGAAGGCCATCTAATGTAGTGCAGGATGATTCTGATGTCATTGCAATTGAGTGCAGTATGAAATGCTGCAGGTTGGGTGTTAGTTTTTTAGTTTTTAAGTAGTCAGAAAATGAATATTGTTTGAAGTCTTGGTATTCATCAGAATGTTGTTCATAGTCTAAACAGAATGTAAGGAACTTCATTAGCATTCTCTTTTCAACCATAGTGAGCTCTTTACTATTAAAGACATCTGCTCTGGAGCAAGGCACCTGTTCTATCTTCCCTTCCCGAAATGCAAGGATCCTAGTGACAGCCTTGAATTCTGCGTAACGACTAACATTCGATTTGATTAGAAGATCAATCAGTGACCCTTGAGAATACAGCAGCTTTGATACCAAGTCAATATTAAATCTGCGGCTCTCCTTAACCATTTGAGAGTAAGTAATCCTATTTCTCTTTGGTTGTTCAGTGCTGTCTTCTACAAGTTTGTGTTCACCTTTATCTCCATCTGAAACTGTGTGCATACCAGTTTCATCTCCACAGTACTTTTCTTTCTCCAGTGAGTCCTCTGCATCAGCTGAGGGTAGTGAAAGCTCTCTATCACTTCCCTCTGTATGTCTAGAAGGTGCCTCATAGCTTGTACAGTATGCCGAGTGCCTTTCTTTGGGCAAGCTTGCAGAATCTAGAGAGTCAGCAGGAGTAGCAGATGCCTCTGAGGAGGGACTTTTCTGCAGAGCATCAGTCTCTTGCATGCTGTCTTCCACATCTTGACTAGCATAACAAAAGACTTCTGTGTGCTGAATAGTTTCATCCTTCTTGCAAAGAGTGATGGCTTCTTCTGTTTCATGAATCAGGTCTTGCCATGCCGTAGTCATGCCTTCCTTGTCGTCATGGTTCTGCTGATAGTCCTTCAACCAGGACAGCAAACCTGTAAAGCTGAAACTCGCCCAGTTCCCTCCATAGTAACTCCTTGAGTCAACATGCAGAACTCTCTGTCCACTTCTTGAACATGCAGCTGCCAGGATGGACTCAGGCAAACCTGTCCCTATGATAATCACATCAAACTCTGTGGGAAGCTTGTTTGCCATCCTAGGAGCTGACACTTCAGGCCACAGCTGATGAAAGAATACTGTAGAGATCTAGGTTGAGGGCTCTTCTGAGGTATTGATGCTGTAATAAAATCTCTACTTGTGATGCTCATTCAGAAACACTGAGTTTTAAGTCCTAAGCTTTTAACTGTTACAATTTTTAAACATTAAAAAAGTCAGTAGCATGAAAAACACTATAAAGTGCATGTAATCATATCTGAGCATACTCAAAACAGATGTGTCCTTTTCATTTCTGCATTTCACCTTAGCGGTAAATGTTACCATGCATCACATACGCATTTGTGACTGGAACTCTTCTCTGAAAGATGAAAATTCAAGAAAAGAACACAATTGTAAATAATAGAAAAGCAATTTCATGCAACAGCAATTCCAATCCACTGGAGTCTGGTTTGTTAATGTGGATACAAACCTCTACCCAAAGCAACTCATTAAATGCTTCCCAACAGTTTTTCTAATGAACAAAACGTATTTTATATACCTTCCCCTGAAGTCAGGCAATACTGTTGTGAGGTATAGACACAATATCCCAATAAATTTAAAAAAGTCTTATATAATTATTGATTTTTAATAAAATATTTAGACAATACCATGAGTTAAGACTAAAAGAACTATGTGGCTTTACTGTGTTGATAGAAACATGCTATGCAGTTATGATCAGGCCAACATAATGGAGAATATTACTGTGGCCAGCAAAGTCTGAGGTAATCCCAAAACAACTGTAGAGAAGATTTTTACATCCCTAACTACCCTACGGATTTTGCAGTAGATACTTGAGACACTCAGATATTCAGATATTACAATCAGCATCAAAGTACATATATAAGCTAAAAAACAAAGCTCTTGGTTACCTATTTAAAACATAAATAATATCTATTCTTTATATCTAAATAAATAAATATTTGCATTTTGCTAGACTATCTCTGCAACCATGAATATCTTTCTAAGGATGTTGTTTTCGTTTCTAAAGAAATAATGAAAAAAGATTCTTCTGTTCCCTTCCACTGCAATGCTGGCTATAGTCCATGCAATGCTAGGTGTGGCTGGCAGCTGTTCCCTTTGGACATGCTCACCTGGAAGTCTACAGACTAACACACTTATACACCCTATTGCCAGCCTTTTGATTGCTCATCACATACATTAGCAATAAGTGGTTTTTGGCTTCTCTACTTTTCACTACCATTAAATCTGCTGACATCTAGGTGCAGGTACAAGGAAGAAAATGGTTATTCTGATATTCGTAAAATTAGCCATTCAATTGGGATTTAAATGAATTCACTAGGTCACTGGCTGGACGGATCAGTTTAACTGAAACAGTGATCCTAACGAGCCCAGCTGGTGGAAACCTCTGACCAAGATTATCAGGGGATTTTTAGCCTTCTCTGAGATGCCAGGACCAGAGCCCAGAATGAAGCAATTGCTTGGTGTGTGTGTGTGTGTGTGTGTGTGTGTGTGTAAGAATATGTGAATAACCTACTTGAGCTTCAAGCAGAGTACAAAGAGGGAGAGAAAACCTATGAGGATATGTAAAGTATAAGCATGTATGCACTTCCCCCAGGCACAGAACAAGGCTGAAGGTGGCAGCGAGAGAGGAGGGGGTTATAAGCACCAAATGTAGATACTTTCTAACCTATAGAACACAGTAGCCTTGAAAAATACAAAGGAAATAGGACAGATGACTTTAACCACAGAAAGCTCAATAGAAGATAACAAAGATGGGAAAACTGGCAACCTATGAGATCGAATGGCTTGGGAAAGCCCAGACAAGAGGGTAGCCATACAACCCACCCTTGTACCATCTGACCAGTGCCAGCAGCCTCACCAAAGCCTGGAGCAAGCACCTAGCAACTTTCAGCAATTAAAAATGCACTCTCCTTTGGTACTCAGAATTGATTAGTCCTGGCTTAGGAACAGAAAGGAAACAGTCTTCTCTATCTCCAACCTTTAAGCATATTCTGGGAAAAGAAATTATTTGCTAAGAATGTTGTAAGTTTTGCAGTCACTGCATTCTAGCCTTTTCCCCAGAAAGTAACTTATTCCCAATCCTCTAACCCCAGAAGAGCAACACCAGGTTTTAGGATGGGAATAAACGCCATGATTCAAAGTCCTAATAGATGCCCTGAATAAAGAACAGTCCAGTAAAAACATCCGTGTGGATGTTTCTTGTAGTCTTTAAAGAAATCTCTTCTGATGCTGACAGACCTCAACAGGAATTCAGAAGGGGAAGAAAGGGCCGAGAATATTCTGGAAGATAGGGTTGGCAGAGCAAGCCAGGGAGAGACAGGGTGGGTGCTGCAGACATAAGAAAAACTCAACCCATTCCTGTTTTCTCAGTTCCAGATGAAGACACTGAACACGACAGCACAAAAAAAGTACTTCACAGAAAAAAAGATTTTAATGTCTTCAAACAAACACCTGTCGCCTACCCCAGGGCTTCTGCAAGCGAGGCCCTTGACACATCACCTTCTTTAAAGATGAATCCACTTAAAAAAAAAACAACCCTCCCAAGAAACATTTTTTAGGTAACAGAGAGAATAATTACATAGTCCACCTATAATGCCACTCATATCCGCTTACAGATCTTCCTTGAGGTTCAGTATTGTTATAGAAAGGAAGTCCTTAGATCAATGTTTATTAGGGTAAAGAGAATAAGAAAGTATCAAAATTGTGAATCAGTGAACAAACATACTAACTCCTAAATTTTGTGTTAAAATTTTAAAAAGGGAATCATGATAAATACCATGAGATTTGGGTTTGTCACATGTAAGTTGGCAAATAATAACTGCCCAGGATATTACACAGATGTTTTCTCTAAGATCTGCCAAGATCAAGGCAATAGTAAATTATCAGTGTGTTTTAAGGTTCATAAAAAGGGACTTTAAGCCTTAAGAAATATCCATTTCTATTTTAAATCATTGTACAAATGAAATCCTTGGGAGACACACACACACACACACACACACACACACACACACACACACACAGAGTTTTACCCAGGTTTAGAATACTGGATTAGTCAACCTTCAACCTGTCAATTCTCAATATAAAATTCAAGAAATCAAGAAGTTCTACTTTAACTAAATGAACTGGCTTCCCTGCTAATTATTTATTCACACGAGTTGGACTTCTTTGAGCCATTTGTAACCTGTGGTGGTGACAGAACCAATGCAGATAAAATACAATAAAAAATATAATACAGTCTCACTCCCTAGAAAGCATTCAACTATTTATAATTGCTAACGAGTGAAAGAGGGTAAAATACTGCGTTATTTAGGATTCTGCAAGTCACTTTGAGGAACAAATACTAACTAAATTTATGAATTAAAACTCTTTGTCCCCGCCTCCACTTTTCAGGAGTAGACTTTTTCTTGCATCTCTTGACTCTACAGGCCCTCATTTCTTTCTCCCTGTGTAAAGTCCACTGTGAGATGCCCTGTTGAGCTACAGTAGGAAGTAAAAACAGATGAGGGGACATAATGTGGCACAACAGCGGCAGGGAGACTACGGAAAGTGCGGCAGAGGCATGAGGAGCTGGCGTTGATGACTGGCTGGGAGGAAGGATGTGTGTAGATCCAGGGGAGGAGGGAAACAGTTGGGGGATGAAGACCAGGTGGAAGGGAGAATTCCTGGGAAAAGGGAGGCGAGGGTTGGGGATGAAGGGAGGTTCTCAAAGAGGAGCGATAGGGAGTTGCGGGTGATGACTGTCTATCAGGGACGATCCTGGGAGGACGGAGGCCCAGAGCTGATGTACCCAGGGAAAGTTGAGAGGCAAGGAGAACGCGTCCCGGGCGACTCACCAAAGAGGCTGCCGCTAAACCCGTCCCACGCGCAGCCCACGGCGTCCCACACCCAGCCGTTCCGCAGGCTCGACGCGAAGGTGAAAGTGACTCCGAACAGGGATACCAGCAGATCGCCGAGGCTGAGGTTGACCAGGAAGAGGTGGGTGGGAGTGCGCAGTCGCGGGAACTTGGAGTAGAGAAGCAGCACCAGCAGGTTGCCGCCGACGCCCAGCAGCGCGAGGCAGCCCAGCAGCAGCGCCAGGCGCTCGTACGCGGAGGGGCTGAAGAGAGGAGCGGGGCTCCGCGTGCCCGCCGGTGCTGTGCCCTCCGCGCTCGCCCCGTCCTCCCAGTAGCCCTGGCCGCCGCTACGGTTCCCCGAGTACATGGCCCGACGCCGGCACGGCGTGAGGGAGAAGGCTCGGTGAGCCCAGCCCGCGGCGCGGAGAACAGGGTGAAGCTCACGCTCAGCTGGCAGCTCAGACCATTGTGCCCTGAGTCGCGCCAGGCCCGCCCAGCTCGCGCGCACCCGGGCCCCGCCCTCCAGTGCTAGAACCCCGCCCCACCGCATGAAGCTCCGCCCTCCCGCGTGAGTCCCGCGACCCACTCGCAGACACTTGCAGTACCTCCCACTTCACCTCTCTGGAAGCCACGCCCTTTTATCATGCGGCCCCGCCCACACAGCAGCCGTTTTGGCCCCACCCTCTTCAGGCTTTTCCGCTGTCTCGCCTAAGGCTCCTCCCTCTGACTCACACCCTTGGCCCCGCCCTCCAGCATACGGTCTCGCCCTCTGAGAGCCTCTGACCACGCCTCCGAGCTGGGGCCCCGCCCTGCTACCCTGGGGGCCCGCCCCTTCCCCTCCCATCTCCGAGGCGCGCTCCCGCCCAACAGAGGCAAATTTCAGAGTCCAGTCAGGTCTTGCTCCGCTTCTTTCACCCTTAAGCCTTACTGGAAACAGAAAGAGACAGAACAGAAAAAAAAGAAAGTAAATTCCTTTACGTAGGTAAATTAGCCACAGCCGGTCCTCACAGGCCGTTTCCCCTCAACGAGTTCGAAAGCATTTCATCCATTCATCGGTTAAGTCACTCACCCTAGCATACACTCATTCATAAATATTTATGAACGCCTGCACTTAACTCAGCTGAGCATGCTGAATGAAATACTCTTCCTCCTGAGAAGTTATAACACCTCATACACCCAATAGAAAGAAAAAACACTGAAATGCCCGAGGTAGGGCGGTAGCGAAACGATCTTACAAACAGGGAAACTGAGATTAAAATAAAACAAACAAAAGCAGCAGGCTGAGACTCAACTACTCTAGAGCTGGAAGATGTGTCCCAGAGTTTATGACAGTGTGCTGAGATGCTACTCTCAGAGCCCCAGAAGAAGAAAGAAAGTAACATCAGAGTGGCACCCACGTCACCCTCTCACTGGATCCCAAGCCTTCTCAGCCAGCAGTAGGGGTACCCTGATACACAGTCCTGTCCAAGTGCTTCACTGGAGGTGATCTCTCGAGCAGTTCTCCCCCTCCCTCAAGGCTTTCAATCCAAATCTAGCAGGTATAGAGAGGATATATTTAGAACAACATGCATTTTCCACTGGCCCTTTCCCCAGCAGCAATGCAAATATAGTACAAGTCAAATATAGATTGTGAACGTCACTTCTTTAGGCCTGCTTTCTCTGTCTCTACTGCAGTCCCCAACGACTATTCACATGAGGATAATGTCCTGAGCTGCATGCACCTGAAGCTGTCATAGGCACTGGTTTGTGGAAACTAAATTGATGTGCACGGGTGTTCACCCCTCCCACTTGTGTTAGATTCAGTGCATCTCCAAAGTCTTCAATAATCAGCTAAGTGGAGAGATAGCTTGATACCCTGCCTGCTGCGCTGAACACTTAACTAAGAGGCAGTGTGCGCCGTCCTCGAAATCTTGATCTTATTTTTAAGACTTCTAACCTGAACTCAGCATTTACAAGACCTTTGAGCTCACCTGACCTGAAAATTGTTTTTAATTTTGTGTTTTAGACTTATAGGACCATTTAACAAGCTTTTCCCCCTGCAGACTTCTCACTATAGTACTCTTTCTACAGTAAGATTGCAATGTTAGTGGAAGGAAGGAAGGAAGGAAAAAAGGAAGGAAAACTCCTGATATTTTTCCCTAAAGTATTCATTCTTGGGCACAGAGTCTTTTTATCCTAAAGCTCGCTTTCTAGAGGTGTTGAGAGAGAAGACAATAATCAAATTGGTTCATATATAAGATGTCAGATGCTAAGTGCCATAAACAATGATAAGGCAGAGACAATAGAGGTGTGATAGTTTGTATATGCTAGCAGAATACTCACTTCCAGGCAGCTAGGACTAGGGTATTAAAGTCCACACCCACAGTGACACACCTACTCCAAGGCCACTCCCTGGCCCAAGCATATACAAACCATCACAAGAGGAAAGAGAAAACAAATGTGCTGTTATTTAGACCACTCTGCATTGAATTCTCTAAATAGGACCTATGTGCCAAGGTGGGACTCCATTTGCCCCCTCGGAGGGAAACAAGGGAGCTATCAGAGCAGAATAGCAGGACATGAAGATAGAGAGGTAGGTGAGCAGCAGTGCTTTGGCCTCTATGTATCAACATATAAGGTTGATACAATGGACTGTAAGGTCCAGAACATTGCCTGGGCAAGAGGCATGGGGCAATGAATGAAAGGAGTAAGAGCCTGGGAGGGAAATGGTTAACATTTTGATAATTGATAATAGTTATTATAATGGTCCTGTGAATTGGTAAGGTCTTTTATCTGAGTTGATAGAAATAAGCAAGATACTACATATACAATTTTCTTTGTTAATAAAAATGTTTCTTGTAAATTTCAGAATTAGGTATTTATGGAGGTTACAGTTTAAGTGGAAAATTCCCCATGGGATTATGTGTTTGAATACTTGGTTCCTGTGTGGTGCCACTGTTATAGGAGCTTGTGGAATCTTTGGATATGGCAGTATTCCCCAAAAGATCATCTCCAAAGTGATCCAGAAAAGCTAAGCAGTGCCTGGTCATGCCGGCCTGTGTACCGTTAAGAATCCAAGCCCTGGCACAGGGATCATCAGGTGCTAACATGCATTCTTCCCAGGAGACCTCTTTGTTGGCTTATTCCTGGAGCTGGGTTTGGCCATGGTGAACCAGATGTAAAGCAACCTGCTACCCTGCCCTGGTTAGTTGTTTGTTTGAGTTTTTGTTTGTTGTTTTTGTTTGCTTGTTTGTTGTTGTTGTTGTTGTTCTCCCAACCTGACACAAGCTAGAGACTTTTGGGAAAACAAAGAACCTCAGTTGAGAAAATGCTTCCACTAGACTGGCCTATAGGAAAGCCTGTGGAGCATGTTTTTGATTAATGGTGGATGTGTGAGGGTCCAGTCCTGGGTTGTATAAGACAGCAGACTGAGAAAAGCACAACTAGCAAGCCAGTAAGCCGTGTTCTTCCGTGGATTCTGCTTCAACTCCTGCCTCCAGATTTCTGCACTGAGTTCCTGCCCTGACTTCCTTCAGTGATGGACTGTGATGTGAAGTGTAAGATAAACTAAACTCTTGCCCAAGTTGTTGTTGGTCACAGTGTTTTTCCACAGCATCTTTCCACCACGTAAGGATGCATAGAAAATGCCCATAGGAGGAATGGGCATTTGCCAGCTACCGACTGCTAGAGCCTTACATTGTTCTCATCCTTCAGAACTATAGGGAATGAAATACTGATGTTTGCAAATTACTGTGTGGGGGGCAGTTAGCTCGTGCCTGGGCGCGGTCATGGGTCCTGTTGGGCTGTTGTGGTTCCCGCATGTCTGCCACACCAGTCAGCTGGAACCCTGGGTCTGGGAAGCAGAAGTGCGGGATTTGGACTGAGTTTACTCTGTGCAGCGCCAGGCTGATGCTATGGGGCTCTTCTGGGTGCGGGGAGATCTCACTCAGTCTGAGGTCCCACGGGGGCAGGGCTTCTGAGTGGGGGTCTCCAGGCTGAGGCGGCTGACCCGGAAGGCCGGTGGTCTATGTCCTCAGGCGCCACTGAAAGCCACAGAAGAATAGAGACTGGGGGTATACGGACTGGACCAGCCCACAGCCAAGAGGAATGGGGAGGGGGGGGGAGGCCCCAACAGTGCCCCACGGGTAGAGACTCTTGGTATAGCACTCGCTTGGCTGGATCAAGGCTCGGATCAGCCAACTTGGTTGAATTGGTGGCCTCCATGGCAGGAATGTAGAGAAGCCCTCAGAGGGAGATTAGGCGGCTGTGGCCTTCTCCACGGTTTCCCATGGCAGGGCCCCAAGACACGAGGAAGTCCATGGTTTTAAAGGTTTATTGTCATGGCAGAAAGTAGATGAATCTGGCTATACCCCCCCCACCCCCTTCCAGGGCAGACCTGAGTTAAATAGGGAGGAAGGAGGGAGGAGGGTCTGGAAAAGAATGCTTAATTGGCTATGCCCTCTGGCCTTTAGGTATCTCATTAATATGGAAATCTCTCGAGGCACTGAGACCTGTAGTCATGTCCTCTACCTGTGGAGGGGCTGGTAGGGACATTGCCCTACATGACTGAAAGGTGCTGCTGATCAATGGAGGTCTTAGACCGAGTGTCAGGAGCCTGGAGTCTGGGAGCATGTCAAAATGTATGCCATACCTCACAGAGTCTCGGGCCATTTCTAGCCAGTGCTCTACCAGAAACCAAGCTATCCTTTTCACGGTCCCACAACTGCATGACATATTTTATTGTAGCAACAGGAATGGACTAAGACCAATGCAGCAGAAGATATAACATCTAATATAGTAAGCAATAATTTCACTTTAACACATTTATTTTTTAAAGTGTGTGTGTGTGTGTGTGTGTTCATGTATGCAAGAGTGCAGGTCCCTGTGAAAGACAGGAAGGGGCTGTTGATGCTAATTTTTAAGCTACTTTATTGGTTTCTTATACTTTTTTTCTCTTCCAAACCTTATTCCTTCCAACACCCCAACACCAGGTAGCAGAGAAAGAAGGTAAGAGGGGAAAGGTGGCATAGTTCTCTTTAGCCAACTTCCTGCTAATTAGGGGCACTGAACTCCTTGGGGACAAGTCCAATCTTCATAGGATATCTCTAACTTCTTGTTTCTTTTCTCTGAACCACCACCAACAGCAAGAGGAGCAGGAACCAGCAGAAGGAACAGCCATGCCCTCTTCTCCTTCAGAGTACCCTTCCACCCCTCCCTTCTCGGGGCTCTGGCATTTATAGCCTCTCCAGAGTCCTCAGAATTAAACTATGTAAAGCTGCTAGAATCACAGTCTGCTAGAGCATGCATGAGGCAGATACTCTGCTGCTGTGGATAATCTAACTGAAGCAGCTCCATATCCCACACCTGGGATTAAAACACAGAACATGTTTACACAACATAACTGGATTTTAAAAAATATACCAAAACTCTCACTACAGAGGGTATTGGAATTCCCTAGAACTGGAATTACAAGCAGTTGTGAGCT